GCAGTAATAAAATAATAAAGTAGCAAAAAATATTCTATTTCTTCAATTAAAATAGCTATTTATTACTATTTAAATCAAAATTCTATTATATTAAATTGCAATTTATATGATAATAAGATATTTAAATATACTGACAGGGTTAGGATATAGTGAAAAAATGAGTTAATGGATTGATTAATGAAGAAGTTCAACAAGTTTGAAACTAGTATTTAATGGATAGATCTACACTTAAAAAAGTGTGCAATATTATTAGATTTACATGATAGAGAACATTTTATTTAATGGTAGAAGATTTCAAAATAGATTATGATATACTTATTTATTAATTTAAAACTAATCAAAAAGTGAAAATTGAAAATTGTAACAAAGCTAATAAACTTATTTATTTAAATATAAATTGAAGTTTATGAAAAACATTTGTCTTATCATTCTTAACTATCTGAGCTAAACTTTTATCTCCAAGAGTATGATGAACAAAATGGTAAGAAATTTAATATCTCTCTTTATTATATTGAATTATCCTAACAGTTATTTTATAATTTTAGCTTTATACACAGGATGCTGGTATAGAATAATTCATATAAGTCAAAATCAATTAAAAATTTTATAAATGAAATATCAAAATATGTGGAATTGATTGTACTAAACAAAAGATCACAAATTATACTGGATGTAAGACACTTGTATAAAGGCCTCAAAAATTGGGATTTTCAAGAGATTCTATGAAATTAGCAACTTGACACAAAAATATAGAAAGTTTAGATTCTTATGAATTACCTAGAGATCAAGAACAAATTGGAATGTTAAGTAATTTGGTAGATAATATACATAACAATAATATTAAAAGAAAACGAGGTATATCAAATTTTTTTGTAATTCTGTTAATAAAGAAATATAATTTATATAAAATTTTTTATTTAGAAGAATCAGATGCTAATATAATTGATAATACAAAGAAAAATAAAGGATTTTCTGCAGCTAAAGGTTAGAAATATAATTAGAATTTTGCATTCATTTATTGCATTTAAAATCAAATTTTTTTGTGAAATGAATGATTTGAAAGAAGCATCTGACGATCCTAATTTACGAAAGCCATTAAAGAAAATGATTCTAACAACACAACTTAGAAATTAATATGAACACGAATAATTGGTTAATTTGATAAATAGTGGAATTTTAAAAAAAGTTAATTTAAAAATTAACATTGCAGACACCTAAATTCTTAGTTTATTATATTTACTAATGACAATATAGTGCACAGAAATAAAGATGTTCAATATCGTACGCAAATAAACTATCTGATGTTCAATATTGTACGCAATAAACTATTAGTGCTCAATATCATACAATGAATTAATATTTGTATTATGCAAAAAAAAATAGATCAAACAACGTCAGCATGATCCTATAGGGCCGTGTGATAAATAAATATATCATTTTATGATTTATTAATGATGATAATAATTCCGAATTATTGATTTTAAAAAAAAATAACTTTTGTTATAAAGGTTTTCTTATTAAATAATATTTTGTTTTTTTTTTTACAAATTTATACAGTATATAGACTATAAGTTTACAATTTTTAAGTCAAATTCTTATAATCAAACATAAAAAATGTGGAAAAGGAGGTAGATACAAGTCTATCTTTATTTGAAATAACAGCAGAGTAAGATTGCCATATTTTATTAATGGTTAAAGCTATTATTTACTATTCAAAAATCCCTATCGCTGCGAATATTTCTTCCGCGGATCAGGATTTTGGTTTAATCGTGATTAAGATATAATTCTTGTGTAAATGAAAATATTGATTCTTAATAAATATCAGTCGCTTCATAATCAAAATAAATTAATTATGGTAAGTTATTTATATTATATAAGAAAATAATCAATAATAAAATGGCTTTATAATTTTTCTAAATCCCTCCTTCAACGATCAAGCTATCTTTTATTAAATCAACATTCATCGTTCTTGGGTTAGTATGAACCTTATAAAATCATCAATAACTTATTTCCCATTTTTGAAATTGTTCTTGCTTTAGATGACAGATATGATTATTTACCTTCACTTAAGTAGTTCGATCGATCGATCATGTATTTGATTTTTCCATAAGTCTTTTTTTATTTCGTTTGAGCTATGATATAAAGATGTAAAATTTGTGTTATTTGTCCAAAATTTAGATTGCTCCTTTCTAAGTATACCAAAAATTTCTAATTAAATAATTATAATTTCAACCGTCAGCTTACAATTGCAATACTGCATAAACCAATGAGTCAAAAAGACAAGTTTGGAGACATACAGAGGAAATAGAGGAAGAAAATGAACAAGTAAATTTATTAAAGGAGTTTCTTTTTATTTTTATTAATAAATTTAACAGTATCGTATACACTGTATCTTTAGATTCCAAATCTGGTTTAATTTTGGGCAAGTTCCATTGTGTCACAATGCTGCAATCCGTGCAGTAACAAAAGGTACGAGACATATAAGCATAAAACGACATTCTATATTGGTTGAGATTGTTTCCTAATTTCATGAACGATGAATTCAGAAATGGTCAATTTTAAAAGGGGATTAATTTTGAATCTAGTGATCGATTGTGTATCCATCATTAAATAATTAAAATTTCTTTAAGACCTTTATTCTGTTATTCTATTTTTTTTTTAATAACCTGCTAAAATTTTTAAATATTTCATAATAATGTAAATTACATGCTTATCTAATTAATGTAACTGCTGCTTTAACTGAAATAATATCAAATTTTGTTTATTTTGTTGTAGCTAGTTGAGAAACAATCATACTTTTTTGTCAGGTAAATTTTCCATAAATCATAAAAGTAAAGTTTAAGTATCATGTACTCCCGAGTGATTTAATTGTACACTGCCTCAATAAAAATCCAGTAATATTTCATGTAAACATGCAATGCATCACAGAAAAAAAAAAAAAAATTTCCTCAAATGAGTTAGTACCCGGAGTGGAAATTTTGGAGTCGACTCAGCCAGTCGCTCATTTCTTAACAAAACTTTGTCGATCATTTTAGCCAGGAACCAAAAGATCGATGAAATTTTAGTCAAGCTTAAATTTTCATAATATTGATATTTGAAAATGAATGGAGGAGTCGTCTCTGCTTATTTTTTCTTTCTTTCTTTCTTTCTTTCTTTTTCTCGGTTTTCCAAAGGCCATTACCTGTATATCAAATTAATATAAGCGAAGCCTCATTTTATTTTTGTATTAAACCGCAAAGTAGTGATAAAAAAAAAAAAACTTCAAACAGGTCATTTTGAAACATAAAAGTTCATTTCTACCTGGAGGTGAAGAAAGGGAATTCGAATTGCTATTCAAAATTAAATTTTTTAACGTTGTCCCAATTTACGGAAGAAAATTCCGAAAAATAGACTTTTCTAATTGAATTTGAAATATAAAAAAAAGTTACGCGTAGGAACTTGAAATAAACTTATTTGATGTAAGAACATGTTTACATAATAATAATAATAATAAAATCAGAATGGTTCATAATTATACGCAGATTACCTTATACTGTAGATTTAAAAAAAAAAGTTGTTCTTAAGAAAAAAACAATAATCACGAATATGGAAACGGGTAAATGTTCAATTTGACAATACGTGCTTTCTCAATAATATAGTTATGGAATTGATCCTGAAAATTCTTGTCACAACTGAAATTAATTAAAAAAGAAATGATGAATATTATTAAACGAAATAAGGGTTCATTTTTGCAACATTCTAATGATTAATAATTGTTGATTCGGATGATTTAGGATACCCAATTCAGCTTTACTATCTAATCATTCAGTTTGACCCTATGACTGAAATTTACAGACATGCTTGGCTAATCCAAGCAAGGAATTATTAATCTCTTAAAAACAAATAATATAAAGCTCACCTTTTATTCAAGAAATTGACTTCTCGAATAAAAGCTCGATTATCACTATTCTCTATGGTTTCGCAATCAATCGGAAGTTACATATATGGTTATATTACGTCATCGTGGTACAAATTATTCAGCACAGCATTATCACGTGAAGATTTGAAAATAACATTTATGTGAAAAAATCCACATCGTGATTTCGATTTTATTTATTTTCTCCCATAATTAATTATTATTTTACTTTACAATTATATAATTTGTCTATCCTCCTTTTTTTATACATAGACTTCCTACATAGAACTTTTTTACATAGACTTTTAAAAAAAAATTTTTTTTCTTTTTCTTTTTCTTCCTGAAAAATGACTTACGTCACAAGACTATCCGTTAAAAATAATCTACGACAACGAAGGGAAATAAATAACAACAAAAACAAAAGGTATAATAAGCAATAAGGATTTTTATATAAATGATTATCGGAAGGAAAGATAATTTCAGAATATCTGCTTCAAATAATTTAAAAAAAAAAAACTTTTCTTTTTTATTTTGATAAATAATTATATAATTTACTATTTTTGGAAATATTAGTGTCGAAAAAGGACGTTCCAATAATCAACAAAAAAGAAAGAGTCCATTAACACCACAAAAGCCAAAGTATGTTAAAGTGTATATTAATGATATTTTAGCTATTAAAATTGAGAAAGGTGAAGAATACGTTTTATTAGCTTATTCTGGTAATATACATTGATAAAATTATATTTGTTCATGTTTATTAATATCGGGAGATATGAATCTTTAAAATTAACCTTTTGTTTTTCTTCCTCCAAGATTCGAACTTGGTTCCAGATTGGCAACCAATGCGTAATCTTAGAAATGCTAATGCTCTCGTCGAAAAGTTCAAAAATCGTCAATCTTTGAATAAGGTTGGTAAAATAATTGCTTTTCTTTTAAAATTAATTATTGACATTCATTTTTCTTTTATTTCTGACATTTTGTTATATAATTTCTTTATATAAAATGTCATAGATAATAATCAACGTGAATGGTGGCGATTATACCGAATGTACTCATACCATTATACAATCGGATAAATTTTCCAATGATTCGAGTTCAAAGACAAGTGTAGATGATGATGACATTGAAATGAAATAGATCTTTGCATTAAAAAAGTATGTTCATATTTTTTGTTTTTTTTTTATTGGTAATCTTTTTTAACAAATTATCGTGTTATTTTTTTGTTTTTCGTTAATTACTAGCAAGGTTTCTACAATTAAGAAATTTCTTTCCGGGTTCCTTTTTCTTTTCTACAACGTATATAGACATTTTAAATGTATTAATTATATAGTTTTAACTGTAGATTAGTTGATCAAGAATGTAAAATGATCGAGTTAACCATAAGATGGATTAAAAATCATTAATCCTTTTTTTTAAAAAAAAATTTCTTTCAATATTAAGTTCTATATTTCTTTAAAATTAAAAGATATAATTGATAACATCTATATTTGTCTCAATTAGAAATTTGCATGAATTACAATAGATTAATATTTAGAATTGTTAAATTCACTCAAGTAAATTGTTTTTCATTATTTCATCAGTATTTTTTTTCATCATCAGAAAACTTAAGTCCTAAACGATTTTAAATCAAATAAAGAAATTTTGGGATTTGATATTTGATCATTTATAATTGTAATATTAATGCAATTTAATTACAAATATCACAATTAAATTACAAGATAAACCGGTACAACATAAGAATTGAGGAGATTCAGCGTTTTTTTATACATACCATTAGGACAATGACAATTTTTCAAAAAAAAAACGAGAAGGGTTATTATTATATAATTTCTGAAGTAGATTTTCATTCAAATATAAATAAATATCTTTTCTTAATAAGTGAATGCATGAATTGCTGATTTTAAATTTTTAATCGCATTAATATGTGGATGTGGATGTCTATTTAGAAATCAAATAAACAGGTAAAAAATCCAAATATGCATATACATAAACATGAGGCAGAGTCAAATAAAAATGGAGTTAAATATAAAAAAATATGGAAGTATAAAAGGTTCAATAGTTATTAAGATTTGAATAAATGAAAATATTATTTAT